TTCAAGGCCATCAATGGTCTGGCCCCGGTCTACCTCGCCGATTTAGTAACGGTCTATCATCCACCCAGAACTCTCCGCTCATCTGAACACACCTATTTGGTCATTCCCAAATTTAAATATAAAAAATTTGGAGGCCGGTCATTTGCTGTCCAGGGCCCTAAACTGTGGAACGCTTTACCAACACTCCTACGAAGCATCACCGTGTTGAGTGCTTTTAAGTCGCAGTTAAAAACACATCTGTTCAGACAAGCTTTTAACATGTAATCTCCGACTCTGGCTGATATATATATATTTTTTTTTCTGTTGTCTATTGATGCTTTTACTGGAAAGCGCCTTGTTCACCTTTTGGCTGTTGTAAGGCGCTATAAAAATAAAATTTGATTGATTGATTGAACGTTTAAGGTCAGGCAGGACGTCTGCAACCATTCTGCAACTTTCTGCATTTCTTTTGATAATTTTTCAGCAACCTCCAGCTCGTTTTCCCCAAAAGTGAAGATCACCGTATCATCAGCGTACATAATTACATCAACGTCAGAACACACTCTGGGGAGGTCATTTATATAGATGCTAAAAAGCAAGGGTCCCAAAATAGACCCTTGCGGCACTCCCATCGAAGTAGCTCTAAACGCAGATTGGATATTATTCACTCGTACACACTGATGTCGGTCGCTCAAATAAGATCTTATCCACTTTTGGGTGTGCTCAGAGAGATTGTATTGACGCAACCTACTATAAAGTATCTGGTGATTGACAGTATCAAAAGCTTTACGCAGATCAAGGAAGACTGCTCCCACCACCCTTCCCTGATCCACATATGCCCTGATAGTTTCTAGGAGGTAGCAACAAGCAGAATCTGTTGAGTATTTCCGTCTGAAGCCAAACTGCATTGGGTTTAAAAAAGCTTGTGAGTCAAAGTGGGTAGTAAGTTGCTCCGCCACAGTCTTCTCGAGCACTTTTGACGCAGCTGGAAGGATGCTTATTGGACGATAATTGTTCATGTCTTGTTTGTTTCCGGATTTAAATATAGGGGTGACAATCGCCGGTTTTAGGGCTGCTGGAAAGATGCCCTCACTAATCGATTGATTGATCATTGTTGTTAATGGCTCAGAGAAAATGTCCTTATATTGTTTCAAAAAAGAAGTGTCAAGTCCATAAATATCTTTTGCTTTGCTGCTGTTTAGCACAGTAATTATTTTTTCAACTTTAGTGTTTGTTATTAAGCTAAGATTAACTGATTATGAGAGGAGGATGAGCAATTTGAGAATTGTTAGCCAGTTTTTGGACAATTGTTAAAAAATATTCATTAAAATTTGATGCAATTGCAAAAGAGTCGTCGATCACTTTTCCATTAATATTCAGATGAATATTCTCACATTTTGACTTTTCTTTTCCAATCAATTTATCAATAGTTTTCCATATTATTCTACTATTACCTTGTGCATTTCTGATGATTTCAAGGAAAAAACTGGCTTTGGCCTTTCTAAGCTCAGCTGTAACTTTATTTCTTTGACTTGTAAAGGCAAATCGATCCGTTGTTAGTCCTGATTTTAGAAATGTTTTTAGCGCCACATCTCGCTTTTTCATCATATCCCAAATAGTTTTGTTAAACCATGGCAAATTTTGTTTTGCATGTCGATTTCTTTGCCTATTTTTTGTATATTTGGTTAAGATGTCATTTACAGCCACCATAAGATCATGACAGCCCTGTTCACAAGATTTTTTCTCCAGGATATCTGTCCACTTTGTTTGTTTTAACTCTTTTTCAACCAGTTTTGAATCTTTCTATGGGATGAATGTGATAGACATTTTATTATTTATTAGATTTTCTTTCTTTCACCTTGTTTTTATCAATTTTCTAGCTACTAAGGTTAAACTATGATCAGACATGCCTGTGATTAAATTATAGGTTTTAATTATTCTCTCAGGTTTATTTGTTAATATTAGATCTATTAAGATTTGAGAGTGTCTTGTTATACGAGTTGGTTTACTTAATAGTTGAATCATTTGGAAAGGTTTTGTTATTTCCTTAAGTTTGTTTTTACATGATTTCTCAAACCAATTTAAATTAAAATCACCTAAAAGAATGACCTCTTTTCCATCACATTGTTTAAGTAAATTACCAAGAGAAATAAAGAAATCATTAGTAGCTTTAGGAGGTCGATAAATTGCTAATACACAGAAATTCATTTCAGGAGATAAAGTGATAGTAATCCCCACACACTGTAGGACTGTTTTCTGTAGGATGGCACTGAGCGCTCTGTAGAAATCCTCTGGTGTTGTGCTCGGCATCAGGAGTTGGAGCGTATGATCTGATGAGAGTGGCGAAGCGCTCCTTTGCTAGGGGAATGCGCCGTGTCATCAGTCTTTCATTGGAGCTGATCGGGGATTCCGGAATGCGCTGCAGCAGTTTAGCCTTCCCAGCAAAGCCAACTCGCTGAGAGCTGCTCTGTCCCAGCGCCCCCCTCTGTCCCAGCGCCCCGCTCTGTCCCAGCGCCCCCCTCTGTCCCAGCGCCCCCCTCTGTCCCAGCGCCCCCTCTGTCCCAGCGCCGCCCCCCTCTGTCCCAGCGCCGCCCCCCTCTGTCCCAGCGCCCCCCTCTGTCCCAGCGCCGCCCCCTCTGTCCCAGCGCCGCCCCCTCTGTCCCAGCGCCCCCCTCTGTCCCAGCGCCCCCCTCTGTCCCAGCGCCCCCCTCTGTCCCAGCGCCCCCCTCTGTCCCAGCGCCCCCTCTGTCCCAGCGCCGCCCTCTGTCCCAGCGCCCCCCTCTGTCCCAGCGCCCCCCTCTGTCCCAGCGCCACCCTCTGTCCCAGCGCCCCCCTCTGTCCCAGCGCCCCCCTCTGTCCCAGCGCCCCCCTCTGTCCCAGCGCCGCCCCCTCTGTCCCAGCGCCCCCCTCTGTCCCAGCGCCCCCCTCTGTCCCAGCGCCGCCCCCTCTGTCCCAGCGCCGCCCCCTCTGTCCCAGCGCCCCCCTCTGTCCCAGCGCCCCCCCCCCCCCCCCTGTCCCAGCGCCCCCCCCTCTGTCCCAGCGCCCCCCCCTCTGTCCCAGCGCCCCCTCTGTCCCAGCGCCCCCCTCTGTCCCAGCGCGCCCCTCTGTCCCAGCGCCCCCTCTGTCCCAGCACCCCCCCCTCTGTCCCAGCGCCCCCCTCTGTCCCAGCGCCCCCCTCTGTCCCAGCGCCCCCTCTGTCCCAGCGCCGCCCCCTCTGTCCCAGCGCCCCCCTCTGTCCCAGCGCCCCCCTCTGTCCCAGCGCCCCCCTCTGTCCCAGCGCCCCCCTCTGTCCCAGCGCCCCCCTCTGTCCCAGCGCCCCCCTCTGTCCCAGCGCCCCCCTCTGTCCCAGCGCCGCCCTCTGTCCCAGCGCCCCCCTCTGTCCCAGCGCCCCCCTCTGTCCCAGCGCCGCCCCCTCTGTCCCAGCGCCCCCTCTGTCCCAGCACCCCCCCCTCTGTCCCAGCGCCCCCCTCTGTCCCAGCGCCCCCCTCTGTCCCAGCGCCCCCTCTGTCCCAGCGCCGCCCCCTCTGTCCCAGCGCCCCCCTCTGTCCCAGCGCCCCCCTCTGTCCCAGCGCCCCCTCTGTCCCAGCGCCGCCCCCTCTGTCCCAGCGCCCCCCTCTGTCCCAGCGCCCCCCTCTGTCCCAGCGCCCCCCTCTGTCCCAGCGCCGCCCCCTCTGTCCCAGCGCCGCCCCCTCTGTCCCAGCGCCCCCCTCTGTCCCAGCGCGCCCCTCTGTCCCAGCGCCCCCCCCTCTGTCCCAGCGCCCCCCCCTCTGTCCCAGCGCCCCCTCTGTCCCAGCGCCCCCTCTGTCCCAGCGCGCCCCTCTGTCCCAGCGCCCCCTCTGTCCCAGCACCCCCCCCTCTGTCCCAGCGCCCCCCCCTCTGTCCCAGCGCCCCCCTCTGTCCCAGCGCCCCCCTCTGTCCCAGCGCCCCCTCTGTCCCAGCGCCGCCCCCTCTGTCCCAGCGCCCCCCTCTGTCCCAGCGCCCCCCTCTGTCCCAGCGCCCCCCTTGCTGCCAGTGTTTGGAGCGGGTGCTGCCAGTGTTTGGAGCGGGTGCTGCCAGTGTTTGGAGCGGGTGCTGCCAGTGTTTGGAGCGGGTGCTGCCAGTGTTTGGAGCGGGTGCTGCCAGTGTTTGGAGCGGGTGCTGCCAGTGTTAGGAGCCGGTGCTGCCAGTGTTAGGAGCCGGTGCTGCCAGTGTTAGGAGCGGGTGCTGCCAGTGTTTGGAGCGGGTGCGCCGCCCCCTCTGTCCCAGCGCCCCCCTCTCTGTCCCAGCGCCCCCCTCTCTGTCCCAGCGCCCCCCTCTGTCCCAGCGCCCCCCCCTGTCCCAGCGCCCCCCTCTGTCCCAGCACCGCCCCCTCTGTCCCAGCACCGCCCCCTCTGTCCCAGCACCGCCCCCTCTGTCCCAGCACCGCCCCCTCTGTCCCAGCACCGCCCCCTCTGTCCCAGCACCGCCCCCTCTGTCCCAGCACCGCCCCCTCTGTCCCAGCGCCGCCCCCTCTGTCCCAGCGCCGCCCCCTCTGTCCCAGCGCCGCCCCCTCTGTCCCAGCCCCGCCCCCTCTGTCCCAGCCCCGCCCCCTCTGTCCCAGCCCCGCCCCCTCTGTCCCAGCCCCGCCCCCTCTGTCCCAGCCCCGCCCCCTCTGTCCCAGCCCCGCCCCCTCTGTCCCAGCGCCCGCCCCCTCTGTCCCAGCGCCCCCCTCTGTCCCAGCGCCCCCCTCTGTCCCAGCGCCCCCCTCTGTCCCAGCGCCCCCCTCTGTCCCAGCGCCCCCCTCTGTCCCAGCGCCCCCTCTGTCCCAGCGCCGCCCCCTCTGTCCCAGCGCCGCCCCCTCTGTCCCAGCGCTGATGTTTGTGTGTGTCTCAGTTCCTCTGACGTGTGTGTGTGTCTCAGTTCCTCTGACGTGTGTGTGTGTGTGTGTGTCTCAGTTCCTCTGATGTGTGTGTGTGTGTGTGTGTCTCAGTTCCTCTGACGTGTGTGTGTGTGTGGGTGTGTGTGTGTCTCAGTTCCTCTAATGTGTGTTTCTCTTCTCTCAGTTCCTCTGAAGAGCATCTCGGTGCAGCTGCAGGTTCGGGATCACGGGGTCTCCGTCAGCTCCAGTCTTCAGTATGTGAACGAGGAGGATGGAGCGCTGGAGGCCGTGTTCGTCTTCCCGCTGCCGGCCGACGCCGCCGTCTGCCACTTCAGCGCCCGGATCGAGGAGCAGGAGATCGTGGCAGAGCTGCGGGACAAGCAGAGCGTGAGTCTCCACACCCGAGGGACAGATTCAGATACACATGATGGATTTCTGCTAAAATGTCAAATGTCACACATTACACAACAGAAGTTATCTTCTACAGCAGGGATTCCCAAAGTGTGGTACGAGCTGCCACCAGGGGGTGCGCGACAGGAAAAATGTAATGGCGGTCTGTTTTTATAAGTGGGGTTTTTCGATACAATAAAATAAAAAAAAATAAAAAAAACATGAACAGTAAACATTTCCTTTGTAATCGCTTTTATTTTAAATAAAAAAAAACTATAATTTATTCGTTTTTGATAGAAACGTAGAGGATGTGCTTTCGCGCGTTGGCTGGCACTGACCCAGTGCTGTCATATATCACAACTATTGAGTGTTTTCAACCACATAATGTTTATTTTAGGTTTCAGACATTTAAATACACATAAGTACTAGCAAAACAATGATTTTGATTTTGCTGATTTCTATGGAAGCGGCAATAAATAATCCTTTTCATTATAATAAGACGACACGTTTTATTTAGGGATGTCCCGATACCACTTTTTCACTTCCGATACCGATACCGATGCCGCAGCTTTGGCTTTTGCCGATACCGATATTAATCCGATATTTTTATTTTATTCTTAAACTAATAAAAAATATAGCAATTTTCTCAATTAGCCACCTAAAATATACCTCCTATATAGTCCACAACAATAGTTGATTATGAAAGATTGCCACCCTTTATTCAAACACTACAAAAAAATAAAGAAATATATAAATGAAAGAAAATACAGGTACTTCAGTACTTAAAGCTAGCTAGCTACCAACAGGTTTAAAGTTAAAACAATTTAAACCGCAGCATTCTACATTGTAAATACCAGTACAGTTTTTGTTTTTTAAATCAATTAGAATTTCTATAACTGTGTGTTAAACTGATTATCACTCTTGTGTGTGTTAAACACAATCTACTTAATACAGACAGCTTCATTATAAAGATAAACAACAAATCCCCAAAATATATGATCATAATCTATGACAAAAATGCTATTATAAACTAGATTAGTGGATAATACACATTGCTCTTTTTATTGTTGTAAAATACATTCATGAAAAACAAGATAACAAAAATGAAAAAGATAATTATTTTAGATATAGCTAAATCTGCTATAAAATTGAGACATGTTTTAAGTGTATTGCACAGCTATTTAATGAGGCAGCAACATTAATAATTATTAATGTTAATAAGCTTTAATTGCGTCAATGCATTATGATATGAAAGGCTCCAATACAGTGCGGCACAAAGCGCTTATGCGCATCCCGAGCGGAGAATGATGCGCTTGAAGCCACGTGGAGTTCCAGCACGCAGCGCGTCGAGTCCGCTTTGAAAAGTTCAAAGCACAACGGAGATACATATTATTGATGGACAGTGTATTATACAGTATCTATCTATGCAATCGTTTATTGAGCCTTTTCTTTTAACAGTTTTAAATTTCAGTTACTGTGCGCGTGAAGAACAATTATAGTGCTCTGACTCTAGTGTTGTGATCAAACTGACAGCGTCCGACACCCGGTAGAGAGTAACACGATTGAGTTACAGCAATAAAGTCCAGCAAGATAAAGTTGTTTTATGCGAAAACATAGACCTTTATCTTACAGATCAAGTATAATAGTATTAACATTGAATCATCTTGAAGATAGTTTCATCATTGACTGCAACCGAACGCGACGCGCTGTTTGAATGCTGAATGGAGAATGACTGACAGCCGCGAGAGGGAAAAATTTACGTGATCTTGAATTTAATTACTTAAATATTAATTTATATCTCACATAATAGCTTCAGAACACTTATAATAGAGTGCACGAAAACGTTATGGTACTTTAGAATGTTTTTGTGCATTTTGTGGGGCTTAACAATAACACATAATAGTATACCCACAATATCGGATTTGGATCGGCCTCGTCTGATCGATGTCTGATCGATACCCGATCCCGCAAAAATGGCAGTATCGGAGCGATACCGATCCTGAGTATCGGATCGGGACATCCCTAGTTTTATTCATATCAGATACACATTGTGTAAGTACCTTCACATTTTACCCTATTCTTCTCCCAGTTCACCTGCCTCTTACTTTCATGTATTTCGTGAGAAGTGGAGGAATTGACGTGTTGTAAATCCAACAGATCCGATTCTCTGAACTGTGGCACAAACTAACATGGTGCCACCCATCGCGCATACAGCTCAACTAACGCGATCGTTATGAAGGTGTTTAAACAACAAAACACATCCACTTACACATATTTGACAATCGGAATATCAGTGTTTCATGCTATAGCTAATACATTTGTAAATAGTTTTGATAAAAAGGAAAAATGACATAAAAGCAGATCATTCATTCAGCGCTGTGTTGTGGTTGCCCTGTGTCAGGTGACAAGCAATGACGCGTCACCATGGAAACATTAAAGTGACAAGTTCTAAATAATGGTCGCCTTGAAAAACTCACACTGGGGGTCAGTTAGAATATTTTAAACTTACGTGTGAAAGGGTTAAAAGTGCGTAGCTTTGTTGCATTATATTGAAACTTTGTTGATGTTGTTATTGTCATGCGTGTTCTGGTTATTTGAGCATGATTAAACATGCCTTTACATGGCGTCTTTATATGGCGACAAAACAAAGCTTTGTTGCATTTTTTTTTTTTTTTTTAAGTGGGGATTGGGGGTGCGCCAACCCGGTTGGGACATAGAAGGGGGTGCGCAGGAAAAAAAGTTTGGGAACTGCTGTTCTACAGCAACCCAATTCATTCCGGAGAGATTGTGCAAATGCTGAATTTTGCCATGAATGGCCTTCTCTCTGTGATTGTGAAATCTGTAATACATCTCACTGGTTTCAGCTTTGCTGTAGTGTCTTATATAGTGGAGGAGGCCCCCATGTGACCCTTTAGATTAGAAAACATTAGACCTTTGACTGGCCCTTTCCAAATCTGTGGAAAATAATGAGGCTTTTGCAGCATCACGATTTACCTGAAATACAGCAATATTAATCAAAACATGGCACTGGTATACACTAAACCCGAAGCGGTGGGGCTAGGGGCGTGGCCACCAGTGAGGAAGCTTGGCCACCCCCCTCACAACTGCGGCTCACAACTCTTTATTATCTTCACCAGAATTGAGTTTATTTAGGTGTAGAACTGTTTGTTTTCGACCAACACACGGGAGACTCTTCAGTGCAGACCAACCAGGAGGAGCGGGAGCCGAGGAGGCTCAGTTTCCCCCGACGAACAGTTGCTGTACGAATCTCTGAACAGTTGCAAACTTAAAGGACAAGTTCGGTATTTTACACTTAAAGCCCTGTTTCAAGATCGTTTCTGATGAAATAGAACGGTTTAGATTAAAATTTGGACACATGCTGCTGTCCAGAGAAATTTCGGTTTCTGTGGTTGCACTCCCCCACCTCCACAATGGTTGCATAGGTGCACAGAAACAATCCTTCCTAAAACGCATTAAACTTTAGTTTACAAACACGTTAAACTCACCGAGTGGTCAGGGGTGTTCACTGTTATGCTCACACAAAAATCGCTGCAAAAGATGCTTTCCAACAGATTTTATCGTAGTTTTTGTCCAAGTCAAGTCAAATGGAGTTGTTCAAAAACTACGATAAAATCTGTTGGAAAGTTGCAGAGTATCCGAGTACAAATCAGCATGAAGTTTTAACATCTACTCTTGTGTAATGGAAATCAGTGACTACTTCGCTCAGAGAACCTGTCAATCACAGCTGTCAATCATGACGTAACAGCACCGTTTTTATTTACATTTACATTTATTCATTTAGCTGACGCTTTTAACCAAAGCGACTTACAATTGCTATATATGTCAGAGGTCGCACGCCTCTGGAGCAACTAGGGGTTAAGTGTCTTGCTCAGGGACACATTGGTGTCTCACAGTGGATTCGAACCCGGGTCTCTCACACCAAAGGCATGTGTCTTATTCTTATCCACTGCGCCATCACCAAAATGTCATTTTTTCCCAATATCGTGCAGTCCTACTGTGAAGCTTAACTGATCATCAATCACAACTCCAAGTGAGTTATGGTTAATGAACCTAGCTGAATGGAGAAGTTGTGCTGAAGTGTTGGGTTGGCCGAGAGTTGTCTTACCAAGGTTGAGTGGAACGTGATGGTCCTTCATCCAGCAAGAAATGTCTGTCAGGCTGAGATGTGAGCAGCTCCCGTCGGATCATCCGGCTGGAGTGAGAGAAAGAGTTGTGTGTCATCAGTGTAGCAGTGATAGGAAAAGCCATGTTTCTGAATCACAGATCCTAGTGATGACATGTAGATGGAGAAGAGAAGCGGTCCCAGCACTGATCCCTGAGGCACTCCAGTAGTTAGATGATAACAGTGATGATATAAATCATGTTTCTGAATGACAGACACTAGTGATGACATGTAGATGGAGAAGAGAAGCGGTCCCACCACTGAGCCCTGAGGCACTCCAGTAGTTAGATGATAACAGTGATGGGTAAACCATGTTTCTGAGTGACAGATCCTTGTGATGACATGTAGATGGAGAAGAGAAGCGGTCCCAGCACTGATCCCTGAGGCACTCCAGTAGCTAGATGATAACAGTGATGGGAAAACCATGTTTCTGAGTGACAGATCCTAGTGATGACATGTAGATGGAGAAGAGAAGCGGCCCCAGCACTGATCCCTGAGGCACTCCAGTAGCTAGATGATAACAGTGATGGGAAAAACCATGTTTCTGAATGACAGATCCTAGTGATGCCATGTAGATGGAGAAGAGAAGCGGCCCCAGCACTGAGCCCTGAGGCACTCCAGTAGCTAGATTATAACAGTGATGGGAAAACCATGTTTCTGAGTGACAGATCCTAGTGATGACATGTAGATGGAGAAGAGAAGCAGTCCCAGCACTGAGCCCTGAGGCACTCCAGTAGCTAGATGATTACAGTGATGGGATAAACCATGTTTCTGAATGACAGATCCTGGTGATGACATGTAGATGGAGAAGAGAAGCGGTCCCAGCACTGAGCCCTGAGGCACTCCAGTAGCTAGATGATTACAGTGATGGGATAAACCATGTTTCTGAGTGACAGATCATAGTGATGGCATGTAGATGGAGAAGAGAAGCGGTCCCAGCACTGAGCCCTGAGGCACTCCAGTAGCTAGATGATAACAGTGATGGGAAAACCATGTTTCTGAGTGACAGATCCTAGTGATGACATGTAGATGGAGAAGAGAAGCAGTCCCAGCACTGAGCCCTGAGGCACTCCAGTAGCTAGATGATTACAGTGATGGGATAAACCATGTTTCTGAATGACAGATCCTGGTGATGACATTTAGATGGAGAAGAGAAGCGGTCCCAGCACTGAGCCCTGAGGCACTCCAGTAGCTAGATGATTACAGTGATGGGATAAACCATGTTTCTGAGTGACAGATCATAGTGATGGCATGTAGATGGAGAAGAGAAGCGGTCCCAGCACTGAGCCCTGAGGCACTCCAGTAGCTAGATGATGACAGTGATGATATAAACCATGTTTCTGAATGACAGACACTAGTGATGGCATGCAGATGGAGAAGAGAAGCTGTCCCAGCACTGATCCCTGAGGCACTCCATTAGCTAGATGATAACAGTGATGGGAGAAACCATGTTTCTGAATGACAGATCCCAGTGATGACATGTAGATAGAGAAGAGAAGCGGTCCCAGCACTGAGCCCTGAGGCACTCCAGTAGCTAGATGATAACAGTGATGGGAAAAACCATGTTTCTGAATGACAGATCCTAGTGATGACATGTAGATGGAGAAGAGAAGCGGTCCCAGCACTGAGCCCTGAGGCACTCCAGTATCTAGATGATAACAGTGATGGGATAAACCATGTTTCTGAGTGACAGATCCTAGTGATGACATGTAGATGGAGAAGAGAAGCGGTCCCAGCACTGAGCCCTGAGGCACTCCAGTAGCTAGATGATAACAGTGATGAGATAAACCATGTTTCTGAATGACAGATCCTAGTGATGGTATGTAGATGGAGAAGAGAAGCGGTCCCAGCAGTGATCCCTGAGGCACTCCAGTAGTTAGATGATAACATTGATGAGATAAACCATGTTTCTGAATGACAGATCCTAGTGATGGTATGTAGATGGAGAAGAGAAGCGGTCCCAGCAGTGATCCCTGAGGCACTCCAGTAGTTAGATGATAACAGTGATGATATAAACCATGTTTCTGAATGACAGACACTAGTGATGACATGTAGATGGAGAAGAGAAGCGGTCCCAGCACTGATCCCTGAGGCACTCCAGTAGCTAGATGATGACAGTGATGATAGAAACCATGTTTCTGAATGACAGACACTAGTGATGACATGTAGATGGAGAAGAGAAGTGGTCCCAGCACTGAGCCCTGAGGCACTCCAGTAGCTAGATGATTACAGTGATGGGAAAAACCATGTTTCTGAATGACAGATCCTAGTGATGACATGTAGATGGAGAAGAGAAGCGGTCCCAGCAATGAGCCCTGAGGCACTCCAGTAGCTAGATGATAACAGTGATGGAGTAAACCATGTTTCTGAATGACAGATCCTAGTGATGACATGTAGATGGAGAAGAGAAGCGGTCCCAGCACTGAGCCCTGAGGCACTCCAGTAGCTAGATGATTAAGATAAAGCGTTGTGAATTCTGGCTCGCGTACCCCGAAGTGATAAAATAAAACAAAATTCTGTATCAAAATTTATAGGCAAGAAAAGTAGTTTGTTTAGGCTGGGTTGTATGAATTACAAACCTGCGCACATTTTTTAAAAAGCACATAACTATAGAATTCTGAATGAGCATGTGAACGCCGTCAGCGTTAATCACAGGTTCGCGTTTAAAGTCTGATCATTTCGACGGAGGTGAATCAATCAAAGTTAACTTTAGCTGGAAGTAACATTATTCAAGAACCGCTATAACGCCAAAACAATCTGTTACCTTAAATTATATGTTTATCTCTGTAAAGCTGCTTTGAAATGTGCACCCACTCCCCTACATTGTTCCAATGTACAGAGCGCGATTTAGCAGTTAGCAGTAATAGTAGAGATTTGAAAGCACATAGCACATTTTATTGAATCTGTTATATCTTTTTTCATAGTGGTGTGGTATGGAAGTCTGTCAGTGAAGAACAGAAACTCCTTAAACCAAATTGTAAGATGGGCCAGTAGGATAATAGGAGTAAATCAAAGGAACCTAGGAAATATATACACAAATCAGCTGTATCGGAAAGCAAGTGCTGTCTTGAGTGATCGGTCGCATCCCTTAAGGAATGATTTTAAGTTACTTCCGTCTGGTCGCCGGTTTGCGGCTTTGAGATGGAGAACAAGACGATATAAGAATACGTTTGTTCCAGCTGCAATTGAATTCCTAAATAATAAGAGAGAAGTTTTAGCACTTGACAGTTAATATGGATTGAGGATACATATGTGTTATGGCGCAGTCTGTCATGAAGTCTATTTGTCTATTTGTAAATTTGTATGAAATACTTGTATATTCTCATGTTTTTATGTTTTTGTGTGGATGACCGAATACTTTTTATCTGTAATACAATTTTACCTGCGGGTATGAAATAAAACTACCTACCTACCTACCATAGTGAATTCAGTTCACTAAAACAAACAAATGAGAACAAGCTGTACAGAAAGGAAAGAAATGGGGGAAAAAAGCAATACTCAAGGGCCTTGTTGGTGTCTTTGCTCGGTGGAGTCACGCAGGTCGAGTCGCTGGTCTTTACACTCTTCGCTCTTCATACGATGAGGGCTTCACACAAGGGCTGCCTAACCACTAACCAATTATATACATGCCTAATACCTTGTTATTAGGGGTGTAACGGTTCACAAAATTCACGGTTCGGTTCGATACGATACACTTGTGTCACGGTTCGGTATGTTTTCGATACAGCAAAAAGAAAGAAATGCCAGAGAAATTTCCTTGATTTATTTTTTTCAATTATATTTTTATTAAAACTAACATCATAAAGTATGGGTACTTTGTACTTTGAGCAATGATGGAGCTATACTTGACTTTTCTTAGGAGCATATAAACAAAACAGCTCCTTGGACAAAATGAAATGTAATATTGTAGTAGTTATAAACAAAGGTTTATTTTAGTTCAGATTAACGTAATGTTACTTGAAAGCATTATAGCCTACTATTCCTGCCACACTCCCATGGTTACAGTTAGTAGTGTTACTACATTAAACCCATGGTGAATGTTGCTGATCTGTGGACACTGAATAGTTCATTCATGGCACAATGTTTGTTCCTGGTTTCCACGTCAGCGCTGTTTGATCCGTTAATAAAGGAGAAATGTGAATGTTTCTCACTAGATCTCGCAGCGATGTTATTACTTCAGTGGCGAACTCAAATGTTTTCTTTACTGGATCTCCCTGTGTAGTAACAGTGCTGATGATTAAGATCGGCTCGCGCTGCATTGGTCCAAACTGATAAATGGTCCGTCAACCACACAATAACGAGCAGCTCAGTTTCGTTCCGCTTACATTACGTTTGCCATTTGATGTTGGGCAATGTTGTGGTCACGCCAGCGTCTCTTACATTATGAGCGCGCTTGCCACACGCGACGCGCCTACATTTGAAATAACGAAATTTTGGTCGCCAGGAGAAATTGGTCCAACGAACCGGTTCAAAACGAATACGTGTATCGTTACACCCTTACTTGTTATTGAATACAGCAGGCCACGCCCTACTACTTAGCAAAGCGAAACTCAAAAGCCACGCAAGATGCACGACAAACAAACAAAAAAGACTTCAGCACGAGTTTTACCACGGTACCAAGTTTCCTAGCAACAAAGAACCATGTTAAAATCTAATGAGAAAAGGAAACACTCACAAGCTGATGTCCTCTCCTGTTGCTTGACCGCTTCTTCTCTTGCAGGCGCGGGATCAGTATGATGATGCTGTGAGTTCGGGTCAGCAGGCGTTTCTGCTGGAAGAGAGCGATGAGAGTTCAGATGTCTTCAAACTGAGTGTCGGGTGTTTGTCTCCAGGACAGAGCGCCGTCATCAACATCGTCTATGTGATGGAGCTCAGTGTTCAGGCCGACCACGCACTCCGCTTCTGTCTGCCGGCCGTACTCAACCCCAGATACACACCCACAGGTGCAGTCTAACCCCAGATTAACACCCACAGGTGCGGTTTAACCCCAGATACACACCCTCAGGTGTGGTTTAACCCCAGATACACACCCTCAGGTGTGGTTTAACCCCAGATACACACCCTCAGGTGTGGTTTAACCCCAGATACACACCCTCAGGTGTGGTTTAACCTCAGTTACACACCCACAGGTGCAGTCTAACCCCAGATTAACACCCTCAGGTGCGGTTTAACCCCAGATACACACCCTCAGGTGTGGTTTAACCTCAGTTACACACCCACAGGTGCAGTCTAACCCCAGATTAACACCCACAGGTGCAGTCTAACCCCAGATACACACCCACAGGTGCAGTCTAACCCCAGATACACACCCACAGGTGCAGTCTAACCCCAGATACACACCCTCAGGTGCAGTTTAACCCCAGATACACACCCTCAGGAGCGGTTTAACCCCAGATACACACCCTCAGGTGCGGTTTAACCCCAGATACACACCCTCAGGTGCAGTCTAACCCCAGATACACACCCTCAGGTGCGGTTTAACCCCAGATACACACCCACAGGTGCGGTTTTACCCTAGATACACACCCACAGGTGCGGTTTAACCCCAGATACACACCCATGGGTGCGGTTTAACCCCAGATACACACCCTCAGGTCCAGTTTAACCCCAGATACACACCCTCAGGTGCGGTTTAACCCCAGATACACACCCACGGGTGCGGTTTAACCCTAGATACACACCCTCAGGTGCGGTCTAACCCCAGATACACACCCACAGGTGCAGTTTAACCCCAGATACACACCCACAGGTGCGGTTTAACCCCAGATACACACCCACGGGTGCGGTATAACCCCAGATACACACCCTCAGGTGTGGTTTAACCCCATATACACACCCTCAGGTGCAGTTCAACCCCAGATACACACCCACGGGTGTGGTTTAACCCCAGATACACACCCTCAGGTGCAGTTCAACCCCAGATACACACCCACGGGTGCGGTTTAACCCCAGATACACACCCTCAGGTGTGGTTTAACCCCAGATACACACCCTCAGGTGCAGTTTAACCCCAGATACACACCCACAGGTGCAGTCTAACCCCAGATACACACCCACAGGTGCGGTTTAACCCCAGATACACACCCTCAGGTGTGGTTTAACCCCAGATACACACCCTCAGGTGTGGTTTAACCTCAGTTACACACCCTCAGGTGCAGTTTAACCCCAGATACACACCCACAGGTGCAGTCTAACCCCAGATACACACCCCTCAGGTGCAGTCTAACCCCAGATACACACCCTCAGGTGCGGTTTAACCCCAGATACACACCCTCAGGTGCGGTTTAACCCCAGATACACACCCACAGGTGCGGTTTAACCCCAGATACACACCCACAGGTGCGGTTTAACCCCAGATACACACCCACGGGTGCGGTTTAACCCCAGATACACACCCACGGGTGCGGTTTAACCCCAGATACACACCCTCAGGTAAGGTTTAACCCCAGATACACACCCTCAGGTGCGGTTTAACCCCAGATACACACCCTCAGGTGCGGTTTAACCCCAGATACACACCCTCAGGTGCAGTCTAACCCCAGATTAACACCCACAGGTGCGGTTTAACCCCAGATACACACCCTCAGGTGTGGTTTAACCCCAGATACACACCCTCAGGTGTGGTTTAACCCCAGATACACACCCTCAGGTGTGGTTTAACCCCAGATACACACCCTCAGGTGTGGTTTAACCTCAGTTACACACCCACAGGTGCAGTCTAACCCCAGATTAACACCCTCAGGTGTGGTTTAACCCCAGATACACACCCTCATGTGTGGTTTAACCTCAGTTACACACCCACAGGTGCGGTTAAACCCCAGATACACACCCTCAGGTGCGGTTTAACCCCAGATACACACCCAGAGGTGCAGTTTAACCCCAGATACACACCCTCAGGTGCGGTTTAACCCCAGATACACACCCACAGGTGCAGTCTAACCCCAGATACACACCCTCAGGTGCGGGTTAACCCCAGATGCACACCCTCAGGTGCGGTTTAACCCCAGATACACACCCTCAGGTGCGGTTTAACCCTAGATACACACCCTCAGGTGCGGTCTAACCCCAGATACACATCCACAGGTGCAGTTTAACCCCAGATACACACCCTCAGGTGTGGTTTAACCCCAGATACACACCCTCAGGTGCGGTTTAACCCCAGATACACACTCTCAGGTGCAGTCTAACCCCGGATACGCACCCACAGGTGTGGTTTAACCCCAGATACACACCCTCAGGTGCGGTTTAACCCCAGATACACACCCACAGGTGCAGTTTAACCCCAGATACACACCCACAGGTGCGGTTTAACCCCAGATACACACCCACGGGTGCGGTATAACCCCAGATACACACCCTCAGGTGTGGTTTAACCCCATATACACACCCTCAGGTGCAGTTCAACCCCAGATACACACCCACGGGTGTGGTTTAACCCCAGATACACACCCTCAGGTGCAGTTCAACCCCAGATACACACCCACGAGTGCGGTTTAACCCCAGATACACACCCTCAGGTGTGGTTTAACCCCAGATACACACCCTCAGGTGCAGTTTAACCCCAGATACACACCCACAGGTGCAGTCTAACCCCAGATACACACCCACAGGTGCGGTTTAACCCCAGATACACACCCTCAGGTGTGGTTTAACCCCAGATACACACCCTCAGGTGTGGTTTAACCTCAGTTACTCACCCTCAGGTGCAGTTTAACCCCAGATACACACCCACAGGTGCAGTCTAACCCCAGATACACACCCTCAGGTGCGGTTCAACCCCAGATACACACCCACTGGTGCGGTTCAACGCCAGATACACACCCTCAGGTGCAGTTTAACCCCAGATACACACCCACAGGTGCAGTCTAACCCCAGATACACACCCACTGGTGGTGTCTAACCCCAGATACACACCCTCAGGTGCGGTTTAACCCCAGATACACACCCTCAGGTGCGGTTTAACTCCAGATACACACCCTCAGGTGCGGTTTAACCCCAGATACACACCCTCAGGTGCGGTCTAACCCCAGATACACACCCTCAGGTGCAGTCTAACCCTAGATACACACCCTCAGGTGCGGTTTAACCCTCTGGGGTCGGCGGTCTCGCCGGCGATACCAGCTCACTTTTTTCCTTATCAGTGCAAAAGAGACTCAAATTACTCTGTTGATTTTGATCTTACATATAAGTGTTGTACATCATTCGATCCTGTTAAGTTTGTATTTTTTTTGTGGAACCTCATAATAAAAACAAAGTGTTGTGCTTTTCGCCTAATAAAGAAAAATAAACATGATGCGCGTTCTGCGTTCTCTCTGTCAGTGAAGTCCATTCTGAAACGCGTCCGAAAAATGAACTGTAACTCTGCAAATACTCAGTCAAACAGGTATACAGGCACACAGGCATGAAGCCTGAATTATCTTCTTTTAAATGAAGTTATTTATATAAAAAACAAATTTTCTCATTTGATGTAATCTGTACGAAAAGAGAGAGATGATAGTCGTTCTCGTCTCAGGTCATTAAAGTTAACTTGACCACGCCCACGGAGCGCGCGCTCTATTCTAACACAAATGCTCTGAGGCGATCCACGCCCACGCCTACGACGCTGTGAGGAATAATACTATCTTAATAATAATCCTGGAAAAAATTACCTCAGAAGTAGCCTACAGGTAGTTTCATTTGGAGGAGCAACGGATCCAGCTGAGGAATAGGCAGGCTACATTCTTTATTTTCAAGTGCTTTGTTCTAATCGCGATATGGAATAGTGTCTGTAAACAAAAAGACTGTTTGAATATCAATCGCATTTTTGTGTGTGAATGAATGAACAGCTTTTACCTAACTATATTCCAATACTGAGATGAGTAAAAATCGACTGAAATATGTTGAAATAAAATATTTTTGTATAAGCAACGTATTAAACTGCAAATTAACATTTATATGTCCTAATCATAAAAACGATATGTTACATATGAAAGACAAGATGTCGTTTTTACTGTAAAATACTGCCACATCAAATAAGCTTGTTTGCTAAGACGTTATTATAGTGTTTGTTCGATTGTAGGCTATATTCAAACTAATTAATCCGCAACTGTGAAATATGTATGATAAAATGTATACTTTAATATATACAAAGAAAGATTACATTTGAAATATAGTTAATTTTAATTGTTGTTGTAATTGTAACCTTTTTATTAAAATAGCAAAAATATATGTAGGCTACATATAAATAAATCTTAGGTAAATCTTAAAAGCTCAATATAAGCCTCCTCTTTAAATGATTTGTATTGTGTTTTATTAGTGACACATTTGGGATATATTCCCAAACTTTCTGTAAAAACAGTATGAGAATTAACTGCACAATTACTAGAAATGTTTACATTTGATATTATACAATTTGCCAGCACAATTAGAAAAATAAATAAATAATTGGAACTGTGAACAAATTTTGTATTATATAGGCCTATATATATATATATATATATATATATATTGTCATTGCATTCTTGTGGCTCAGTGACACACCTGAATGAAAGGGTCATTAGTATGCAGCCCCATTATGCGCTCATTATGCGGGCCCATTGTCTTCTCAGGTGTGAATCACAGCAGGTCACACCCCTGCGCATATTGCCTTTCCAAACAAAAAGTGTCATTTTTAAATTTAAACCAATCTATTGTTTTATGTGAATGATAAGGCAGGATGATTTTCAGATCATTTTGAAGAAAAAACTCTAGGCGACAACATCCATTAGTCAAAAGTCTTGTGGACACATATTCAGTATGTGTTTTGTGGCCTTATTTCAGAAACTTTAAGTTTTAGTTTTTTTCAATAACCACGCATAAACAATATCTAACCCCAGATACACACCCACAGGTGCAGTCTAACCCCAGATACACACCCTCAGGTGCAGTCTAACCCCAGATACACACCCACAGGTGCAGTCTAACCCCAGATACACACCCACAGGTGCAGTCTAACCCCAGATACACACCCACAGTTGCAGTCTAACCCCAGATACACAATGTGAATATATAGTAAAGTGTAATTTATTCCTGTGATCAAAGCTGAATTTTCAGCATCATTAGTCCAGTCTTCAGTGTCACATGATCCTTCAGAAATCACTCTAATATGATGATTTGATACTGAAATGTTTATGATTTTTATCAATGAAAACATTGCAGTGCTTTACTGTTCAGCAGTCGAATCGGCTGTGTCAACCAGATGCACAGGTCAGTTCTGGTTGGCAGTTCGGCTCTATATTGATACTAGGTTATATCTCTGTTTGTCCATGTGATTCTCTCAGCTTCAGCTGCTGGTGTTCCAGAAGTTTCCTCAGCATCTGTTATTCCGTACACACTGTCTCTGAGTGTTGATGTGAGATCTTCAGATCGCATCTCCAGGCTTGAGTCTAGCTGCCCTCTGGATCCTCTGGTGTTCCTCGACGCACACCACACACACGCCACGGTACTGTCTGTGTGTGTGTGTGTCTGAGTGTGTCTGAGAGTGTGTGTGTGTGTCTGAGTGTGTGTGTCTGAGTGTGTGTGTGTTTGTGTTTGTGTACAGGTTTTATGCACTTAGCGTCTGTAATGTGTGTGTAGGTGAGTCTGAGTGTGTCTGAGAGTGTGTGTGTGTCTGAGTGTGTGTGTGTGTGTGTGTGTGTTTGTGTGTGTGTGTGTCTGAGTGTGTGTGTGTTTGTGTTTGTGTACAGGTTTTATGCACTTAGCATCTGTAATTTGTGTGTGTAGGTGAGTCTGAGTGCTGGTCACCGGTTCGATAAGGATGTTGAGCTGCTTCTGTACTATGAGAATACCCATCAGCCCAGTGCTGTCGTGGAGGCCGGAGCAGCCACGGCTCAGCCAGGTACAGGCTTTAGTTTTTACAGTAATTTAGTATGCTGTAAATATACGAATGTGTCAGTTAAGGGGTTACTTCACCCTAAAATGAAAATTAAGTCATTGTAGGCAAGAAGTTTATCTTGTAATAAAATCCGACATTGTCAGAAGTTCTTGAAGGCAATTATTTGGCCATTGGTGTTCATGTCTTACAAGTGATTAAAAATGGCGGATTTTGCCCTAGTCAATGGCAAAACTTCCCTGTATCTAAAATTGATAACTATAAGGTGGGTAAATACATATTTTTGATGGTGTTTGTAGTTCTGATCATAATTATCATGTTCTCGCCCTGATCTCTGATGTTTAGGGTGGGTCGTATGTGAGTTGGGACACAGGACTTGATTAGTTCAGGGAGTTTGATTCGCTCTGCAGGATAGAGACTGTCATACAGTGCAACACGAATCATACAGGACAGAATTCAGGCCATTTACACCCCCTTACCCTGTTTACACTGTCTCGGTTTCAGGCTCTCTGATGGGCGACCCAGTGCTCATGATCAGTTTGTACCCAGAGTTCCCTGCAGACGTGATGTCATCGCTGGCATCTCAAGGCGAGTTTGTGTTTGTGGTTGACAGATCCGGCAGTATGGACTGCAGCATGCATAATGGGAAAGACGCACAGATGCGCATCGAAAGTGCAAGAGTAAGATTTCGGATTTCAGAAATTACAAATATATATTAAGATTTGAGTCACTATACTCACTGTACATGCTTCTCTCTACTGTACTCACTGCACATGCTTCTCTGTACTGTACTCGCTGTACATGTTTATCTCTACTGTACTCACTGTACATGTTTATCTCTACTGTACTCACGGTACATGCTTCTCTCCACTGTACTCACTGTATATGTTTATCTCTACTGTACTCACTGCACATGCTTCTCTCTACTGTACTCACTGTACATGCTTCTCTCTACTGTACTCACTGTACATGTTTCTCTCTACTGTACTCACTGTACATGCTTCTCTCTACTGTACTCAGTGTACATGCTTCTCTCCACTGTACTCACTGTATATGTTTATCTCTACTGTACTCACTGCACATGCTTCTCTCTACTGTACTCACTGTACATGCTTCTCTCTACTGTACTCACTGTACATGTTTCTCTCTACTGTACTCACTGTTCATGCTTCTCTCTACTGTACTCACTGTACATGTTTCTCTCTACTGTACTCACTGTACATGCTTCTCTCTACTGTACTCACTGTACATGTTTCTCTCTACTGTACTCACTGTTCATGCTTCTCTCTACTGTACTCACTGTACATGTTTCTCTCTACTGTACTCACTGTACATGTTTCTCTCTACTGTACTCACTGCACATGCTTCTCTCTACTGTACTCGCTGTACATGCTTCTCTCCACTGTACTCACTGTACATGTTTATCTCTACTGTACTCACTGCACATGCTTCTCTCTACTGTACTCACTGTACATGCTTCTCTCTACTGTACTCACTGTACATGTTTCTCTCTACTGTACTCACTGCACATGCTTCTCTCTACTGTACTCACTGTACATGTTCATCTCTACTGTACTCACTGTACATGTTTCTCTCTACTGTACTCACTGCACATGTTTCTCTCTACTGTACTCACTGTACATGTTTCTCTCTACTGTACTCACTGTACATGTTTCTCTCTACTGTACTCACTGTACATGTTTCTCTCTACTGTACTCACTGCACATGCTTCTCTCTACTGTACTCAGTGTACATGCTTCTCTCTACTGTACTCACTGCACATGCTTCTCTCTACTGTACTCACTGTACATGCTTCTCTACTGTACTCACTGTACATGCTTCTCTCTACTGTACTCACTGTACATGCTTCTCTCTACTGTACTCACTGTACACGCTTCTCTGTACTGTACTCACCGCACATGCTTCTCTCCACTGTACTCACTGTACATGTTTCTCTCTACTGTACTCACTGTACACGCGTCTCTACTGTACTCACTGTACATGCATCTCTACTGTACTCGCTGTACATGCTTCTCTCCACTGTACTCACTGTACATGTTTATCTCTACTGTACTCGCTGTACATGCTTCTCTCTACTGTACTCGCTGTACATGCTTCTCTCTACTGCACTCGCTGTACATGCTTCTCTCTACTGTACTCGCTGTACATGTTTCTCTCTACTGTACTCAGTGTACATGCTTCTCTCCACTGTACTCACTGTACATGTTTATCTCTACTGTACTCGCTGTACATGCTTCTCTCTACTGTACTCACTGTACATGCTTCTCTCTACTGTACTCAGTGTACATGCTTCTCTCCACTGTACTCACTGTACATGTTTATCTCTACTGTACTCGCTGTACATGCTTCTCTCTACTGTACTCACTGTTCATGCTTCTCTCTACTGTACTCACTGTACATGTTTCTCTCTACTGTACTCACTGTACATGTTTCTCTCTACTGTACTCACTGTACATGCTTCTCTCTACTGTACTCACTGTACATGTTTCTCTCTACTGTACTCACTGTACATGTTTCTCTCTACTGTACTCACTGTACATGTTTCTCTCTACTGTACTCACCGCACATGCTTCTCTCCACTGTACTCACTGTACATGCATATCTACTGTACTCACCGTACATGCTTCTCTACTGTACTCACTGTACATGCATATCTACTGTACTCACTGTACATGCTTCTCTACTGTACTCACTGAACATGTTTCTCTCTACTGTACTCACTGCACATGCTTCTCTCTACTGTACTCACTGTACATGTTCATCTCTATTGTACTCACTGTACATGTTTCTCTCTACTGTACTCACTGTACATGTTTCTCTCTACTGTACTCACTGTACATGTTTCTCTCTACTGTACTCACTGCACATGCTTCTCTCTACTGTACTCACTGTACATGTTTCTCTCTACTGTACTCACTGCACATGCTTCTCTCTACTGTACTCACTGTACATGTTTCTCTCTACTGTACTCACTGTACATGTTTCTCTCTACTGTACTCACTGTACATGTTTCTCTCCACTGTACTCACTGTACATGTTTCTCTCTACTGTACTCACTGTACATGTTTCTCTCTACTGTACTCACTGTACATGCTTCTCTCTACTGTACTCACTGTACATGTTTATCTCTACTGTACTCACTGTACATGCTTCTCTCTACTGTACTCACTGTACATGTTTCTCTCTACTGTACTCACTGCACATGCTTCTCTCTACTGTACTCACTGTACATGTTTCTCTCTACTGTACTCACTGCACATGCTTCTCTCTACTGTACTCACTGTACATGTTTCTCTCTACTGTACTCACTGTACATGTTTCTCTCTACTGTACTCACTGTACATGTTTCTCTCCACTGTACTCACTGTACATGTTTCTCTCTACTGTACTCACTGTACATGTTTCTCTCTACTGTACTCACTGTACATGCTTCTCTCTACTGTACTCACTGTACATGTTTATCTCTACTGTACTCACTGTACATGCTTCTCTCTACTGTACTCACTGTACATGTTTCTCTCTACTGTACTCACCGCACATGCTTCTCTCCACTGTACTCACTGTACATGCTTCTCTACTGTACTCACTGTACATGCTTCTCTCTACTGTACTCACTGTACATGCATATCTACTGTACTCACTGTACATGCTTCTCTACTGTACTCACTGAACATGCATCTCTACAGTACACGCGCTCGCATGCACACACACACACACACACACACACACACACACACACTGTGTCTCTACTGTACTCACACACACACTGTGTCTCTGTAGGACACGCTGCTGCTGCTGCTGAAGAGTCTTCCCATGGGATGCTACTTCAACATCTATGGATTCGGCTCTCACTTCGAGTCCTTCTTCCCGTCAGTAACGTTAGCTGTTCTTCAGGAATGATCTCATGCTGGTCAGCGGTGGTTTAGTGATAGACTGTGGTGTGTGTCGTTGCAGTCAGAGTGTTGTGTACAGCGAGGACACGATGGAAGAGGCTCTGAAGAGAGTAAAGAACATGCAGGCAGACATGGGCGGCACAGAGATCCTTCAGGCTCTGAAACACATCTACAGTCAGAGCTGTTTCCCGGATCACCCCCGACAGGTACACACACACACTCACTCATCATTCAACACGCTTCCTGAACACTGCTGAGGTGTGTTTCTGAGCCTGATTCTCTCTCAGCTGTTCATTTTCACTGATGGAGAGGTGTGGAACACTAAAGAGGTGCTGGACCTGGTGAAAAGTCACGTTTACTCTCACAGGTGGGCGCTCACGTCTCACTCCTCCTTCACTGATATCACCCGCTTCACTTCAGGTTCACTTCATGTCAGACGGTCCTGTGTCCTCAGGTGTTTCTCCTTCGGGATTGGTGAGGGTGCGAGTACGGCTCTCATCACAGGAATGGCCAGAGAAGGTTCTGGTCACGCTCAGTTCATCACAGGCACTGACCGCATGCAGCCCAAAGTAAGATCTGCTCCGGACAGGATCAGTACGAGACGTTCAGGGTTTTTACTCCCCATCCTCTCTTGTTCTTCTCCTTCAGGTGATGCAGTCGCTCCGGTTTGCTCTCCAGCCGGCCGTGGATAATATCTCTGTGGACTGGAGCGTTCCCGAGGGCGTTACGGTGGACATGCTGTCTCCCCCCATCAGTGCCCTGTTCCAGGGTCAGAGGGCGCTCCTCTACGCTCAGCTGAAAGGACAGGTCAAAGCTTTTTAATGGGGTCCTATTACGCCCTTTTACGAAGTCTTGATTTAGTTTTTGTATGTACTAGAATATGCTTTCGTGCTTGATTGTTCTAAAAAACATTATTTTTCACATATTTTACATTATTACAGCTCCTCTCTCCCCAGTCTGTCCCGAAAACATTATTTTGTTCCAGTTTCGATGAAGTCCCTCCTTCCGAAATACAAGATGTGCTGTGATTGGCAGCGCTTGCCATGTTCGGAAAATGTCCGGCCCCTCCATTACCGAGAGTTCATTGCGGTTCTGGAAGCTGTTCTTTATAAAATGTGCAGCACACAGATAAACATCGGGATTATAATGTTCAGGAACAGTGTTTAAAATGTAATTTTACCCATTCTAAGTTCGTCAGAAGGTCAAGCAAATTATGTTTTTTTAACGAAGTTTAGGAGGAGCACATTCAAATGATCTATCCAATCAGTTCGTCGTCAGCAATTATCACATCTATCCTATCAGCATGAGAGGAGGCCTATATACAGTTGCAATCGGAATTATTCAACCCCCATTGCAAATCTCTGGGGTTAGGGCAACATTTACAGACTCTCAGCTGTTTGCAATGAACAAATAAAACAAAAGTAATTGAATTAGCTCAACACAAATGTTTCAAGTGGTTTCTCCAAATAATTAAAAATGAAACTTTAAATGACTTCAGTCTCAAAACGATCACCCCTTCATGGCAGCGTCTTCAGCTCTGAGTCGAGCAGCCGTCTGCTGTTGAGCCGCTGGAGCGAGACGTATAACCGACAGCAGCTTCTGTTCCTGAGGGATCTGAGGATCGAGACGTATGACCGACAGCAGCTTCTGTTCCTGAGGGATCTGAGGATCGAGACGTATGACCGACAGCAGCTTCTGTTCCTGAGGGATCTGAGGATCGAGACGTATGATCGACAGCAGCTTCTGTTCCTGAGGGATCTGAGGATCGAGACGTATGATCGACAGCAGCTTCTGTTCCTGAGGGGTCTGAGGATCGAGACGTATGATCGACAGCAGCTTCTGTTCCTGAGGGATCTGAGGATCGAGACGTATGATCGACAGCAGCTTCTGTTCCTGAGGGATCTGAGGATCGAGACGTATGATCGACAGCAGCTTCTATTCCTGAGGGGTCTGAGGATCGAGACGTATGACCGAGAGCAGCTTCTGTTCCTGAGGGATCTGAGGATCGAGACGTATGACCGACAGCAGCTTCTGTTCCTGAGGGATCTGAGGATCGAGACGTATGACCGACAGCAGCTTCTGTTCCTAAGGGGTCTGAGGATCGAGACGTATGACCGACAGCAGCTTCTGTTCCTGAGGGATCTGAGGATCAAGACGTATGACCGACAGCAGCTTCTGTTCCTGAGGGATCTGAGGATCGAGACGTATGATCGACAGCAGCTTCTGTTCCTGAGGGATCTGAGGATCGAAACGTATGATCGACAGCAGCTTCTGTTCCTGAGGGATCTGAGGATCGAGACGTATGACCGACAGCAGCTTCTGTTTCTGAGGGATCTGAGGATCAAGACGTATGACCGACAGCAGCTTCTGTTCCTGAGGGATCTGAGGATCGAGACGTATGACCGACAGCAGCTTCTGTTCCTGAGGGATCTGAGGATCGAGACGTATGATCGACAGCAGCTTCTGTTCCTGAGGGATCTGAGGATCGAGACGTATGATCGACAGCAGCTTCTGTTCCTGAGGGATCTGAGGATCGAGACGTATGATCGACAGCAGCTTCTGTTCCTGAGGGATCTGAGGATCAAGACGTATGACTGACAGCAGCTTCTGTTCCTGAGGGATCTGAGGATCAAGACGTATGACCGACAGCAGCTTCTGTTCCTGAGGGATCTGAGGATCGAGACGTATGATCGACAGCAGCTTCTGTTCCTGAGGGATCTGAGGATCGAGACGTATGATCGACAGCAGCTTCTGTTCCTGAGGGATCTGAGGATCGAGACGTATGATCGACAGCAGCTTCTGTTCCTGAGGGATCTGAGGATCGAGACGTATGACCGACAGCAGCTTCTGTTCCTGAGGGATCTGAGGATCGAGACGTATGATCGACAGCAGCTTCTGTTCCTGAGGGATCTGAGGATCGAGACGTATGATCGACAGCAGCTTCAGTTCCTGAGGGGTCTGAGGATCGAGACGAATGATCGACAGCAGCTTCTGTTCCTGAGGGATCTGAGGATCGAGACGTATGATCGACAGCAGCTTCTGTTCCTGAGGGATCTGAGGATCGAGACGTATGACCGACAGCAGCTTCTGTTCCTGAGGGATCTGAGGATCGAGACGTATGACCGACAGCAGCTTCTGTTCCTGAGGGATCTGAGGATCGAGACGTATGACCGACAGCAGCTTCTGTTCCTGAGGGATCTGAGGATCGAGACGTATGATCGACAGCAGCTTCTGTTCCTGAGGGATCTGAGGATCGAGACGTATGATCGACAGCAGCTTCTGTTCCTGAGGGATCTGAGGATCGAGACGTATGATCGACAGCAGCTTCTGTTCCTGAGGGATCTGAGG